GGGTTTCTCATTGGCGGGTGCTACCCTCAGAGCTATGGAATGTGCTGTTATCTGTGAGGCCAGAAGTCTCTGTTCTTACCTTATAAGGCTGCTATATGCCTGGGCTTGCTTGATCTATAGCCTCCTGGGGTGGGGGTAGTAGGTGGAGATTATGACATCAGGCTTGCCTGAAGCAACTAGTCAAAATGGGGTCAGTGCAGTTTGTCCTCTCAGCCTAGCAATCAAGCGGTTTATAGAAGCGAGAAAGAGCCAGTATTCCTAAAGAGGGGCAGGGGTCTCAGGAGTCCAGGGCAGGGGGCCACAGAGGAGGGTTTCACACTAACTGTAGGGAGAAAAGAAAGCCCTTGAATGGTGCCTAGGAGATGTGAAGAAGTAAAGGCAAGAGTAGTTAGTATTACAAGTTCTAGACAGGAAACCAGAAAAACATCAGAACAGGGCAAATTTCAAATATTCATATCAGAGTCCATTGGAATTTCTTGATGAGAGCTTCCAAAAACCTCCCTCTATTGTGTTCCTCCTCATTTTTCATTTGTCTGCCAAGGCTGAGTGATGAACTCAGGATTTGTTTTCAGGCACTTTGATAGCTGTTGGTGCAGCAGACTTTTTAAGCAGATTTCAAGGATTTGAATTCAGGTCCTCACGTTTGTACATCAAGTACTTTACCCAGTCCCTAGCTCCTTCAATTTTTTACAAAATCATGTTCATTTAAATCAGAGTATGGCCCAAACCATATCTTTTTAAAAAGAGGGCCTTGCTGTGTTGCCCAGGCTAGTCCAGAACTCCTGGGCTCAAGTGATTCTCCTGTCTTAGCCTGCCAAGTACTTGGGACTACAGGTGTATGCCACCACCCTCAGCTTGTACCTTTTTTTTTTTTTTAATTTTATTATTTTTATTTTATGTGTGTATGTATCTGGAACTGGAGTTACAGACAGTTGTTAGCTGCCAAGTAGATGCTGGGAATTGAGCCCAGGTCCTCTACAAGAGCAGCCAGTGCCCTTAACCACTGAGCCATCTCTTCAGCCCCCAAAGTACTACTCTTTTTTTTTTGGTCTTTTTGAGACAGGGTCTCCCTGTAGCCCCAGCTGTCCAGGAACTCACTATGTAGACCAGGCTGGCCTTGAACTCACAGAGATCCACCCGCCTTTGCCTCCGGAGTGCTGGGATTAAAGGTGTGTGCCACCACGCCTGGCCCAAAGTATTACTTTTAAAAGATACAGGCTGAGCCAGGCGTGGTAATCCACATCTTTAATCCCAGCACTCAGGAGGCAGAAGATCTCTAAAAGTTCAAGGTCAGCCTGGTCTACACAGTGATTTCCTGGCCAGCTGGGGCTACAGGGAGACCCTGTCTCAAAAAGACCAAAAAAAAAAAGGTACAAGCTGAAGGGGATTTGACAGCCTCTTCTGTCCTCCTCAGGCATTGCACGAGACAGGTGTACTTACCTACATGCAGGCAATGCACGTATACACATAAAATAAAAATAATAAAATTTTTAAAAATGTAATTCTTGCTGGGCGTGGTGGCGCACGCCTTTAATCCCAGCACTTGGAAGGCAGAGGTAGGCGGATCTCTGTGAGTTCAAGGCCAGCCTGGTCTACATAGTGAGTTCCAGGACAGCTGGGGCTACAGGGAGACCCTGTCTCAAAAAGACCAAAAAAAAATAATAATAATAATAAAATAAAAAATGTAATTCTTGACCTATTGTCTCAAGTACTTGTGAGGCTGAAGCAGGAGGATCATTTGGGCCCATGAGTTCAGACAAGCCTGGGCAACATACTGATACCCCATCTCAAAATAATAAACAAACTTGATTCAGATCTCATATATGCCAGAGCCACATGTATGAGCTTATTTGTATTTTAATTTGGTTTGGTTTTTTAAGGGCTATACTAAGAATGGAAGCCAGGGCCTCACACTAGGTGAGCACTAAGTCTGTCTGTCCCTAAGATGCACTAGGTGAGCACTAAGTCTCTCTGTCCCTAAGATGCACTTTTAACTCCAGGTTGTCAGGGTTTGTAATTACACTTATTTATCTGTGTGTGTTTCTGTGTGTGTGTAGGTTGGAAAACAGATTGCAGGAGTTGGTTCCACCCAGTGGAAAGGGATAGAACAGGTTGTCAGCCTTTGTGGCAAGCACCTTTACCCACTGAACCATCTCATCAACCCATTAGTTTTTGTTTTAAATATCTGTCAGAGTTTTTTTATTTATTTTTTTATTTTTTATATGTATGAGTGTATTGCCTGCATGTAGGTAGGTGCACTCATGTCATGCAATGCCTACGGAGGTCAGAAGAGGGTGTTGGATCCCCTCAAACTGGAGTTGTGGACAGTCGTTAGCTGCAAGAACAGCCATTGTTCTTAACTGCTGAACCATCTCTCCAGCCCCAATATCTGTCCGTTTTGTGGTTTTTCTTTTTCTTTTTTTTTTTGGTCTTTTTGAGATGGGGTCTCCCTGTAGTCCCAGCTGTCCTGGAACTCACTATGTAGACCAGGGTGGCCTTGAACTCACAAAAATCTGTCTGCCTCTGCCTCCCAAGTGCTGGGATTAAAGGCATGTGCCACCACACACTTAAAAAAAAAAAAAAAAAAAAACTCAGAAACTAGAAAACACAAATGAATTACTGATGGAAAGTTTGGCTTTTAGACAGATGGCTTTGGGGATTTTCCAAGTCCTCTCATTCTGTATGTGAGAGCTGATCACTACACAGAGTCATCTCTACTCCATGAAGTCAGAATGAGTTGTTTTATTTGACACTGGACTTAATAAATTCTTGGTACATGACATAGTTAAAAAGGTTTAGCCTTTGTCCTATGACCTTCCTCTGACGTCCCACAGAATAAGAAGGGCCTCAGCTCTCCCAAGTCAGTTCCTTGCAAAAGAAATTGAAGTGGTGATGCTTGCCATGAAGAGGAGCTCTGTGCTCAACTCAATTTTTTGAGCATTCATTAGGAAGCAAAACTACCCTTTTTCCTGGGCAGGACGGGTTTTGGAGCTGGTGAACATGAATAAATGAACATGCTGTTCAATATGTGTGCCACCACTCTGGCAGGTTTGCTCCTCTCTTGTCCAGAAGAACTTGGAGATGACACTGTTTCTGTACTTCCCCCAGGTCCAAGGCTGGCATCGGAAAGCTACCTCCTGTGGCTTCTTGCTAGTCCCGGTTTTGGAGGGGCCTTTTGCGCTGCCCAGTTACCTATACGGTGATCCCCTGCGGGCCCAGCTCTTCATCCCGCTCAACATCAGCTGCTTGCTCAAGGAGGGCAGTGAACATCTGTTTGACAGTAAGAACTACTCCCCTCTGGAGGGTCTGTCTCAATGAGTAAGACCCCACCCCAGAACACCTCCCTGTGCATTCATATGTAGACTCTAGATTGAAAAAGAATTATAAGACCTCGAGGGTAGTTGGATATATAGACTATTTGGAAAGAAGAAAAAGACAAGTGGGAGGTGGGGGCAAGCGGTCACTGGGTAAACGTCAGATGGGAAACATCATAATGAAACCCATCATCTTGTACAATGAATATATGCCTGAAAACGTCCTAGATGACCAAAACCACAGGCTAGTTAAGAGACTCATTCTACAAGAGGCCAAAATGATCTGGGTTGTCCTGTTTTTTTTCACTTAGTGGCTGGGTAGCCCTAGACAAGTCATTTAATGCTCTTGAGCTTTGGATTCCATTTTCTAACATGGGGTTGTCTAGAGCTAGAAGATCCAACAGCAGGGCAGCATGGAGCTGTGGAGGAGAGAAGGGTCACACACTGTGTATCTCTAGCAGTACTGCTCTGTCACAGCTGTTTGTGTGCTCTGGCCTACCTGATCTGGCTGCAAGGACTGTTTGAACTGAGGGGAGACTTCACATGCTATTCCATGAGAAAAGGCCCCCAAAAGGCAATCAAAAGCAAAACAGGAAGCAGTGTCCTGTTGTACAAAGCTGCAGCTGTCAGTCCCAGGTACCCTAGGTGTGTCTCCAGTTCTGCATCTCAAGGTAGACAAAGCAGAGCAGGAGGAGAACAGCAGGACTCCGATTAGAGCCCTTCCTTCTGAAACAGGGCTATCAGAATAGGATCACAAGGGACCCACCCAGAAGTGTCCTGCAACTCCAGTGTGCCAGGTTTAGGACAGATGAGAGAGGGAGCACTGCTCCACTCCTCACCTTGCTCTTTATCACCAATCATTTACTGCAGGTGAATATATAAATAGCTCTTAAAAAGCTTTCTGTTTCTTCATAGATGCCTTTTTTTTTCTTCGTCTTTTTGAAACAGGGTCTCCCTGTAGCTCCAGCTGCCTGGAACTCACTCTGTAGACCAGGCTGGCCTCGAATTCACAGAGGATCCGCCTCCTGAGTGCCGGGATTAAAGGCATGCACCACCATGCCTGGCAAGATGCCATTTTTTAAAACAAGAAGCTAGTACTGATTCAAATGTGTCAGGAATTGTCTGATAGGAAAATTATAAATGTGAAGGACAGGACTTTGATATAAGGGAAGTGTTTCCTTCCTACACCTTTAAGTTTATGTAAATGGCGAGAACCAGTCCAGAGGATGAGGAGGGTTTGCCAGGTAGGGCAGACTAAGCTTAGAATTTGTGTTTTCCATGTGACAGACTGCCCTTGTTGTTCCAAAGGTCTGTGCATTCTCTGTTCGCAACTTAGGAGACATTTTTGTGCAGTGTTCTAAATGATGGCTGGGGTGCCACCTGAACCCCGCAGAGCCTCCCTACAACAGATCAGCGATTCCAAACTGGGCAGAGGTTACAAAGTCCCCAATTACAGACATACGTATTCCTGTTTCACCTCACAGCATGGCTGAGTGAGAACCATTTATGTACTCCTTACATGCTGATGATTATGTTCCTTTCAAATTTTAAGCCAGCTCTTTGTAGTGTTGTTATTAATATGTGGAGGGGCTACAGCAATCTTCTCTCACATCTAGAGACACAGTCCTCATTGTAACAGTAAAGGATTGCTTGCAGGGCTGGCCTTAGAGCTGATGGTTTTCCTTGCCAGCTTGTAACATAGTCTTCTAAACCAGCATCGTTGGCTTGTTACCATAGTGACAGTGGAAGAAAGGTGTCCTAGCATAAAGAAATAAGGACCCAAATCTAAAATTTAATTTTCTAGCTTCTGTGGCTCTTCCTGTTATCTCTATCTACTGTACCAGTGAATTCAGAATCTTAAAATCTGACAATAATGTTTGGTGTTTGTGT